GTATAATATTATAAAATGTAGAAATTTTATTTAATTCTATGAAAAATATATTATCCTTTAAACTGTTTTGCAGCCAAATTTGCCTGCAATTTTATTTTTTAATTAAAGACACTTTTAAATATCTAAAATATTTTATTATATAAACCAATATTTTTGTAATAAATTCTATAGTATTTTTTAAGTAAAAATTGAAAAAAAAGTTCAATTTGATTAATGATTTTTTAAAAGTAAATAGCTAAATTTTTTAAATTGAAATATCTTTTTATCCATTAACCCTAGAAATATAAAATTACCACCATTTAATATGTATTAATAAGAAGAATCTGATAAAATAAAATTGTTCTTCTACAAATATTATGTGATAGAATAACTTATAAAATCTAAAAATTTATAAATTAATATAACATTTTATTTATTAATTTTAGAATTATAATTTTATTACTATTAGATGCGCTTTAATAAAAGGAATTTAATTAATATAATTTTGTCTGATCACTAGATCTTAAGATATTTTAAAAATTCAAAAATTCTTAAAATTAATTTTAGTCCTTACAGTTTAAAGGATAAAATTGTACTTTCACTTTAATGATTTTATTAATAATTAATATTAATTTGTGATCTACAAGTCAATTGCAGAAAATGGAAATGTCTTATAGAAATAAAAAATTATATACAATTTTGGAAAAAAAAAGAAAAAGAAAATATAAACAAAAATAAAAAAAAATGAAAAAAGTTTTTTAAATGAGTAAAAATTAACTAAAAAAAAATGTTGAAAATTCTAATCTAACCATATATGATAAATGTAATGGACTTCCGAATTCCGAAGTTATTTTTGGAAATTGAATAAAGATATGACAAACAAAGAAATATTTGAACCCCATTTTCACTTGATAATTAACAATTCCAAATTGGTTCTACTACAGATAAGTCATCTGTTACACTTGAAGAATTGGACCACATTTCAATAAATTCTTCTACTGTAAATAATGAAGGTGATTGTGGTGATCCAGTTGTAGTCGATGTTAAACTAATCAATCCAAATCGTTCTTTTTCATCATCAGATATTACTCTCGTATGATCAATTGATGAGTTAGAAGGTGAGGAAACAATATCTCCTATATCATCATGAAGTGATGGTGTTGGAGATAAAAGAATAGAATTTGTGGTTGGTTCATTATTATTAATTTCTGATTCTGAAAATGTTGGACTTGGTTTAGGTGAAAGCATTGTCATTGTTGTTGTTGAATGATCCCAAAGATTAATAGGTATCACGGATTGAAAATGTGGGAATGATGGTAATGGTTGTTGTTGAAATTGAGTTCTTTGTTGAGGTCGATTTACTACTGGTGGTGGTGTTGGTGGTGTAATAGGATGATGCTGTATTTGAAATGCCATGATTGGAACATCATCAATTGGATCATTTTGATGCCAAATCATTGTATGTGCTCTGTCTCTTATACACATCTAGATGTGTATAAGAGACAGGATTGGAACATCATCAATTGGATCATTTTGATGCCAAATCATTGTATGTGCTTGTTTAGATGGTCTTATTACTATTTGTCCTCCTGCTGGATATG